CCGGACGGGCGACCTCTTCCAAGAGAACTCCTCTCTATATGTGATTAGAGAGTTGAGTAACAACCCACAATGCCGCAGAAAGGCCAACCCAGACTCAACCGGATAACCACCTTTTTCCGTAGTTGGTTAACTACGGAAACAATACAACACTTAATACGGAACAAACCCGGTATGCTATTTAGCCTAATAGGCAAAAGGACTGTCCCATAGCAATGGGACATGAGGACACCCGGGCAATGGGGGTCACCCCGAGGCCCGTTACCTACACGTGCGGCAGTACGTGAAGACGACAATTAACGCTCAAGTCAAGGATCTCCTAGGTGTGCGTTATTTGTAGTTAGCAGTGGCTGCAAATTGACCGCCGCGCCGGTACGACATACTCCGCCGATCGTTGAGTCCCGTGATTCCGTGAGGCGTCGAGGTCACCGGCCCCTAGGTGATTCTTGGCACTTTATGCGCTTCGTGCATTTTGTGCCCAGTCGCGTTATAAGTGCCACCTCCGCACTTCCCCCAACCCTTTTGTTTGCAAAAGGGGTAAGCAGTGCCCCAAGTGAGGATAGTCACTATTTTTTATATACCATATCTTAGACAGGGCCGTAATTTAGATTACCTGACTGACGTAGGTAGGTCATCATGTCCGATAAGAAAAAGGGGGAGCTTACCCCCCCCCATTAAGAAAACCACCGGACCGAAAAGGTGTGTTGGAACGACCACTGATTGTGAGGGATCTGGCGAACCCGGAGCGCACTAGAATAGTGTCATCCTTTTCACAGATCCCCCAAAGAAAACCCGTCTCGCCACGGAAGGAGCCCGCACCGGGCGTCGCGCTCACGCCGGCCGTGTCCGAGCACACGGTCAGGCAGGAACCGTCGCCCCAGCAGCAGCGGGCAATGAAAACGGCAAGACGCCACACTCCTCCGGAAACCGAAGCCTCCCTATACGAGAAGAGGCAACGGATTGGCTCCCAACTATCTTCCGATGAAGCACCATCTACATCGGAAGAAGATGAAGACTACCACTAGGTGACAACAAAGAAGGTGCCAAGATCGCCACCTAAGTCACCCTCTCCACCGCAACCCCCCCTCCGCTCTATATCTCCGGATCAGCGAAGCCACGATTCGGCCCAGTACGAGCAGGGGGGTGAAGAATCTTATAGTTGGGGGTCAACTACGTATGCTACCCTCGCAGCATCCGCCGGCCGATCATCGCCGGTGGCAACATCTAACCCGTTCGGGCTCCCGCAGGACGATGGCCAACGGCCATCTACCAGCTATGCCCATGTGGTAGCTGCACCAGCAGTACCACGACCACCACCGGCGGCAGTGCCTATTGATAAGCCTGCCGACCAGGAGAATAGAAAGCCCGATACCCGCCCATAGTGGCTGAATGCCTACCGGATTGGACGAGGCATTTTAAGGAGCTCAACAGAATGTTGGGCCACCCTTTAAATGCCCGTCCGTTCGGGAAAGGCGTACGGTTTACACGTCAGAGTGCGAACGAATTCCGTACAATTCAGCGCTATATGGTTGAATTAACCAAAGAAACACCAACACTGTCGTGGTATTGTTATACCCCGGAGGAGGACAAGCCCACTAAAGTGGGCATCCGGGGTCTACCAACGGGCACGGATACCAAATCAATAGAGGAGGCCATAAGGGCAAAAGGCTTCCCAATTAAGTATGTGAAGGCAATACCACCTCGTAGGAGCAGACCTGGCTGCATCTACTTTGCCCAATTGGACCACTTGAGCCTGGAGCAGCTCCAGGAACTTTATAATATCGACGAACTCCTCTATATGAGAGGGGTCGTCATCGAGGCCTGGCAGAGAAAAGCAGGTCCAGCTCAATGCCACCGATGTCAGGCCTTCGGGCACGCCTCTGCCAACTGCTTCAGGCCAGTGAGATGCGTGCACTGTGCCGGGGAGCACATTGCAAGCCTTTGCCCTCGGGTTAGAGAGGAAGAACTGAAGTGTGCCAACTGCGGCAAAAACCACACGGCAAATGACCGCCGCTGCCCAGTCCTGAGGAGGACTGCTAGGAGGCAGGGGATAACTTTGCCGGGGCTACTCCCGGAGGACCCTAAAAAGATCCCCCCAGAGTCGCCCAAAAGCTGTCACCATTCAGCAAGACGGGTGGGCTACCATCACTGGGAAGGGCAGGCAACCACCCCCCCCCCCCACCCGTAACATCTCAGGAAACGATGGCAACGACCAGGGCAACCACAGAGGCGACTCTACAGCCCCCCCGCCAACCCTGCCACAGAACGGCAACCCTCCAAAAAGAGGAGGTGGGAGAGAAGCAGGAAGAAGTCGCAACCTCCTCAGGCTGTCACCTCTACCCCGACACTGTACCAGTAGCCTCGCAGGCGCAGATTACTCGGGAGACAACCAAGAGCGTGGGTAGAGTGCCAGAAAGGGCTCTACCCGAAAAGAGAGCAAAACCAGGAATCCCAACACCCGAGACAATTGCCAACGCCTTCTTATAGGAAAACACCTACCAGCGGCCTCGAAACAGCAGACGCAATCCAGCGTCTGGTTGGTATTGCCATCGAGGTCGGCACACAAGTCCTAGCTGACATCAGAGTCGGGACAGACCCAGTGACGGCGATAATGAAGGCGCTGGCAAACCTTCTAGCCCGGCATTACGGAGGAGAGTAATCTGCGCCTCCTCTATTGGAACCCGGACGGAATACAGCAGAAGCTGCATGAACTCCGCACAGTCGCCCAGCAACAGGATCTGCACATCATTTTGCTGGGAGAGGCGAAGCTAAACCCAAAGACGCATATAAAGCTGCCGAACTACCACATTTACAGAAGGGACGAGGTCACTTCTCAAGGGACCGCCTACAGACGGGACGGCGGTTCTAGTGAGGAGGGACATCGTCCATCAAGAACTGGAACTTCCACCTTACCAGACTATGCGCTCTATCGGCATAAGAATGGAGGCGGCGGGCGAGGAACTTAGGATCTACGCAGCATACCGCCCGCGCCAGGGACTCCATTCTGCCCCTCAGACATCCGGACGGTGATGGAAGGTGAAACACCCACAATCATCGCCGGGGACCTAAACGCTAAACACCCGGCGTGGGGGTCCCAGTGTGATCACCCCGCCGGGTCTTGAACTCTATGAAGATGCAGAACAGAACATGTATGACGTTTTAGGTCCCGAGGAACCAACGCATGTTCCTACTGATCCACGGAGACATCCGGATGTATTAGACATCGTGCTCACTAGGAACGTCAACTACCCGATAGTGGTAGAAGTGCTGTACGACCTCTCCTTACAGCACCTCCCGTTACTGATAACCCTTGGCCTAAAGGCGGTGACTACGCCGCCTAGAGCGTTCAAGACACGTGTCGACTGGAGGCTCTACTGTCAACATCTACAGCAGAGACCTCCAGTACACCAGCCGATAAGAGGGTCGCTCACGATAAGGCACAATAAAGCTTAATCAGCCAGCTGCCTGTCCCTAAAGGCGGTTTTTAGAGGGTATCACTTAGGGTCCCCGGTAGGATGTGAGTCCCTCATAACCACGATAGACCGGCTATCGTGGTACGCGTAATGCATTTTCCGCCTCCCTACGTATAGGGTAGCCCTTTAATTGCTTCGGGCGCAAAAAAAAGGCTCAAGTCAAGGATCTCCTAGGTGTGTGTCATTCGTAGTTAGCAGTGGCTGCAAATGACCGCCGGTACGACATACTCCGCCGATCGTTGAGTCCCGTGATTCCGTGAGGCGTCGAGGTCACCGGCCCCTAGGTGATTCTTGGCACTTTATGCATTTCGTGCATTCCGTGCCCAGTCGCGCATCGAAGTGCCACCTCCGCACTTCCCCCAACCCTTTTGTAATAAAAGGGGTAGGCAGTGCCTAAAAAGTGACTACGCCAACTTTTATTATATCTACCATCTGCGTCGCGCATTACTGCCCAATCAGCTGGAAATAAACAGGGCCGTTAGATTACTGACTCGTTAGGTAGGTTCACCATCATGTCCGATAAGGACAAGGATAAGGGGGAGCCACCACCTAGATCAAGAAAATCTCCGGACCGACCCGGCGTATTGGACAGACCAATAGCGTACCGCGACATCTTCCATCCAGAGCGGACTCGAGTAGTGTCTTCCTACTCGCAGATCCCAACCAGGAAACCCTCATCTCCAGGCAAGGAGCCCGCACCGAGGACCACGCTCTCGCCCATCAAACCTGAAGGTACGACTGGGCGCGAACCATTCCCCCAACAACAGCGGGCCAAGAAGTCGTGGAGAAGGCACACTCCACCCGAGACAGCAGCATCCCTACAGGGAAAAGAGGCAATGCTTCGTCCTCTAACTCCTCGGAATACTCGACATCTGAGGAAGAATACGACCAACCGAAAAGACCAGTACGGAGATCACCACCCAAGTCGCCATCGCCGAACAAACTCAACCCTCCTAGATCACCGGAACACCATACCAGCATGGATGCTGTTGATCTGGAGCAGGGAGGAGAAGGGTCGTACGGGTGGAGTGCAACTACCTACGTGACCTTAGCACCCAATACATCGGCCGGACACTCGCCATCCGCGTCACCAACGAAGACAACAGTCAATCCGTCCGGGCTTCCGCAGGATGATGGCCAACGGCCATCTACTAGCTATGCCCACATTATAATGTAAGGAATGTCTACGGTTGAAACATTTACGTAGCTTACCGAACGCAGGCTGTAATCATCAAAAGTCCACTATGCATAGGCTGTCTGTATTTATTCCACTAAGACTGAACTCAAACTTGCAGACAAAGTGGAGGCAGTAGAAAATGTAGACGGTCTAGTAAGGGACCCGACATTTTCTGCTGCTTCCAGTTGGAATGTAGTAGAGGGCAATACGACTATCTCTGGTAACGCTGCTCAGTTAATTGTAGACGCCTTAACCTACACTGAGAACCTTATAGCTAATGTTATAGACAAGATTAAAAATTTGAGTGAAAACTGGTTGCTATTGTTACTTACAACAGAATACCCCTGCGGGTAATGAGAGAGCCGGCCCAACGGAAGAGGTGCCTGCTGGAACAGAGAGGAAGCCTGAGAAACAAACCGCTGTTGCCCGTGGATCTCCACGATAGAGAGATAACCCAAACAGATTGCACAACCGCCTCTGCTCCGGACAGCATACGAGGAGTGGGATATGAGATCCCGGTCGCTAGCGCATACCGACGTCCTGACGCTGACCATCCCTTGCCGCTACCTACACCGATTGATGATCTGGTCAACATATGGTGGGTGCCATTCGAAGCCGCGGCCGGTGGGTCCGACATTATCACCGCCGTCAATGAGATCGAGAGCAAGCTAGCAATCGACGGCGTCGCCCGTCAAGCTTGCAGTGTGGCGGCAGAGCTACACGGGGCTCAATACCCCCCTGTGATGGTACCGGCTGAAAGCGATCGCTACCGCGACGACGAGGCGGTGTGTGGCGGGTGGGTCCTTGACGGCGACCCCGAACCCAGGCTTTACCCTGACTCTAGATTTCGGGCGTCGCGGGCACTGTCGGAGGAAGACACCACGCATACGCGACGGCTGATGGTTGGCTTTAACTTTGGCACTATCAGTCCACTTGCCCGGCCATTTTCCGGAGAGACGGGTACTATTGCTGTCAATTCTAACCTCGACAGGATACACCGGGGCCGCCGCTGGACTCACAACAAGCCCGATAATCATGCGCCCGCTATGGTTCTCAAGACCATGGATTCGATGTCCGGCGTTGCCACCTACATGGGGCTGGTAATAACTGAAGATATACAAAGCGGCTTTACATCAGCCAGCGGCGCCAGGGCTTGGTTTCGTATGCTAAGCATGGCCATCACACTACAGACCTCTTTACTGTTCGCTAGGTCTGATCTTTCCCTTCGGGTCTGGGTAGGGTACGAGGGTGACGCACAAGACCTGGTCACTCGTAACACCTACACACAGCTCATCAAGATGGCGACCAACGGATTGTGTGGCTACATCGATATCGCCTCTATGATCGAGCCATGGCACGCGTGGGACGAAGAGTGCACGGCGGAATACTATGGATTAGACTTGACAACTGATGCCAACTGGTTGTCGTACCATCCGGTCCCTGCCTTGCTGACGACTCAGTGGTCCCGCAAGCTGGGACTGGAGGAGGGGGGAGGTCAGAAAGCCTGCGTATTTCGTTACATGGGCGAGCACAAGAAGGGCTATTAGTCACCCACGACAGCGCCAGTGACAAGATGGAGGCCATCTAGACAATAGACTTTGACCGGTACGCCCCGGTCGTAGTCTACCCAGATAACGACAACGAGCGGCTGCGCGCGAAGTGCATGTAATTGTGAGTAATATTTATATATAACATCAGTCGTGTAATGTTTCAGCTAGTGTTTATATGTATTTGTATATGTATATAAATGTGTGCAGCAGTGCACCGCTTGACGAAGGGTCTACGATCTCGTTAATTGATAGTGAGTTAGCTCGTGAATTAGGTACGGAAGGGCCGACGAGGCCACTGACGATACAAGGTTTATCGGATAGCCCACGAGAAGCTAGTAGTCGCGTAGTGAAAATAGGCATACGCGGTAAAACGAGAAACGCTCGTACGATTAACAACTTAAACGTAGGTTCGCAATCCGTCGGTAAGGAATGTCTACGGTTGAAACATTTACGTAGCTTACCGAACGCAGGCTGTAATCATCAGAAGTCCACTATGCATAGGCTGCCCATACATTGCCTCGTAGGTACTATTTGCTATAACTGCCACGCTTGGCAAGCGGGTTATTCTGCCAAGCCTATCTCCTGTTTCAGTTTCCGTCTCTCGCCTCGAAATTAATGATTATATTTTATCATTTCAGATATATTACACAAATTTCCTATACCGAAGTACGTCACTTGAAAGGTTTCAGCTATGGACGAGGATAGCTGGAAAATATTTGATAAATAAAACCGATCTTGATATTTATCGTAATTACCGGATTTGTAATCGGCACTTCGAAGATCGATTTATATATCCCGGAACAAAAGACTTGCTAAAACAGCATACCCCAGTCTTAACCTTGGTAAGTCTTTATTAAAAGTTTTCTCACTGTCAATTTAACTAGTAATTGTTTTAACATTGCAGACTAAAGAATATAACAGTTGTAATATTCGTAAAGATGATCAAGAAAACTTTTAGTTTTTACTTATTATGGGTATGTCAGTGTATAGCTTGCCTACAATAACTACTACAACCCCACCCAGTGGTAAGTGGTTATAAAGCCCTAGCAGTGGCGGCCCTAACAAAATTTTTAGGTGGAGCGGGATATCATAGTGACACCCCTCTAAATACAAAACCATAGTGTTCCTCTACTATTACGTGATTTTAAAAATCACAGTATATGTATGTTTGTCGCTACTAGTTGGGGGAGAAAAAACAAAAACTTTCAGGAGTGGTCTTCAGTATGCCTCCATTAGAATCGTTATTTAAATTATTAAAAAACCTTATCAATTGCTGTATTTAGAATATATTGCGGGATTTGTGGCAGAAAAAAGTAATGTAAGAAGAAGCAGTGACAAACTGTCTTATATTAAAAAATAATTTTGTTCAGAAATGAACAAATAACAAAAATAATAGATGTTGCGGACGGCGAGTGAAATCGTACATCGCCCCGCACCGCACCCACGTCGACACGTCCCGCGCGCCCCGCATCGGAACAAGGGCCCCGCGCGGACGGCACTCCCACTAACTCGGTGCTTACGGCGCACCGAACTGCGAAATAAAAGAAGCGTTTCTGGCGCCGATTCTGCAGCATTCCGCCTGTGGCATCGCTCTCGAGCGGTCGCATCCAGGTAGTCCGTGCTCTCGTCCCTGTACGGTAGTGCTATCTCGCTCTCGCGCCTCCACTGTCCTGCTCGCGCTGTACAGCGTCGACGCATTGGTGAGTCACTTTCGCTAACAGCTCTTGCCCCCCTGTCTTCGGGCGGGGAGGTTTGACTGACCTCCGCTTGTTACTGTATCCACCGCTGCCAGCTATATGGTCATGCGGCGGCCAACTGCTCCGCCCCACCCAGGTGCGTTAAGTGCCTTGAACCCCACAACACCAAAGAGTGTCCTCGGCCCAAGACGCCGAATCCCCACCCGCATGTGTCCTGTGCAAACAAACAGGCCACCCGGCAAACTACAGAGACTGCCCTTGCGCACCTCATCCTCGCCCCAGTAGACAAGCTCCACCGCCGGTCAATGACCGCTCATTCCCGGCTCTCTACCAACGGCCATATCAGGGCCTTTCTCAGCCCATCCAGGCCTCTCGGCCCTCTCAGGGTCCCCCTAGGCCCCCTCAAGGCATTATTCGGCCCCCTCCGGGCTTCTCAAAGCCTATGCAGCCTCCAGTCTTTCCCTGGGGCCTCAATAAGGCAGACCCACCGCGGACAACCACCGCCCCACAACAACAACAATCACAGCCCACTATTGAAGACCTAAAAACGCTGTATTCCGCTATTAGGAACATCGACGTTAGTGAAATCGCGGTGGTAGCACGCAAATTGCGCGCTGCGAGGTCCCCTCAGGAACGTCTTCTAGCTCCTACAGAGCACGATAATCTTTTGTGCTCGTAAGTTAAGTTAATTAACCCTTTCACTCGGCTACCAATCTAATCAGATCATACAATACCTACCTTACGTCCGCTCTAGTACGGGGCTAATTAGATCAGAAGTACTGCCCTATGAAAAAACTATTTATTCCTTTAAAACTAAAACTAATGACAATATGCTAATAGTACCAGACAATATGCTCTTTTATTTTAAAACGTAACCTGGCAATGTTTCTTAGAAAAAAATAAAAGAAGTCACTTTGAACTTCCGGCGTTCCACGCGTGGCATCTTTCACGAGTGCTCCAATAAATTTATCAACATTTATTATTTTGGCTGCTATAAAAACGTAAGTATTATACATTTTTGTAATCCTTGTGATATAACAAACCCGTACATATAATTTGTGGCATAAAAGTGAAAAGTGAATGCTAAAAATAGTTAGAAATCGAAATGATGTAGAAAAGTTCAGACGAAATAGTAAATGTAAATGTCTATATTTACGGATAAATCTAATTGAATACGGTAAAATCCTAATGAAATTACGAGATAATTTCATATTTTTCAAGATTTCGTTTATTTTCCTATCAAAATTGTATCATAACCTATACAATTGTTCATAAAACGGTCCAATACCTATATAACAATTCAAATATTTCGCCATATTTAGCATATTTGCAGGGATTGCACGAATTTTATCGATAAGGCGATCGATATGGAGATATTTTAAAAAAAAAGTGATACATTTTACGTATTTTTATTGTACAGACATGTGCTTCACTTTTTTTTCATTTGGATAAATTCAGAATGTATATAGCAATTTCTGCTGATATAATAACATAATATGACCCTATTATCTATATATTCTCATATATATGTAATATAACATGAATATATATATATATATATAATATGATAGGCATAACTATGTACTATTGGTATGTAACAATTATTATTTTCTTTTTTAGCATGTGGAACCCCGGAAGCAACCCAGTTCCCCAGGTCTTCATCTATGTCCTTCTCGATGAGGAGGAGGAAGCTGAAGAAATGATCATCGGTGAAGACGTTGGGGAACAAATCAATTACGACGACTGGGATATATCTGTAAGTAATATTTATATGTAACATCACACACAAGTATAGATAAATAGACACTTATAGATTATGCACGACGCAAGCGACGAGATACCTGCTTAGTGTAACCAGCACTGGTTGAGCAACTCAGGGGCGGTGGGCGGAGCCACGGGGGTCGCGACCAGCGAGGTTCGACAACTAGCGAGGGTGTATACAACAACACAGAAAAACAGCCGTAGCCTTGGTTATTGTATTTAATTTGTTAAATATATATGACTTATATTAATATAAGATTTAGAATAAGATAATAAAGAAAGAATGATGTTGTAACTATGCAAATAACTCTCCCAATAAAGGCATCGAATAAATAACGAGAGTTAGCATAGATTTTAAAATATAAATTGTACTCTTATAATTAATTTACCTTTGTTGCATATCACCTTTATTGTATACATATTACCATTCATATAAATTACCTTTCTTAAGATAATTATAACATTATCAGGGCATGTTATCGTGATACGGCCGCGGAATTAATGAAGCTACGCATAGGGCGTCACGACGTTTTATATTTATAGTGCTGAGGTGCGGGGCAGGGTTCTCAGCTTAAAAATTGTAAATTACAAGGTTTAAAACCTTTTAGAGTATAAGATAATTATTGTGTACATAATAGTATAAGAATTAGATGTAAAAATATTATATAATT